AAATTGATTTATAATAAAAACACTATTACCTTTGAATCTTTCTGGTCTCATTCTAGCTGACCAACAAAACGAACATATGTTACCTATCTTTAGATAACTTAGTAAACTCTTCCAACTTAAAGTTATTTAATACGTCAACTCTCCCACCTGACTCTATCACGTGTACTCTCGTAACAGAACCCAAAGTCATATTAAAACAGTAACAAAATTTTGGTGCCCCTCTGTGGAAAGGAAAGTTTCAAAGGCACCAATAGTGAAAAGGAAAGTTTCAAAGGCACCAATAGTGGAAAGGAAAGTTTCAAAGGCATTAATATTGAAAGAAAAGCTTTAAAGACATTAAAAATAATAAATCAATTAACAAACAAATTCCTTGTAGATGAACCACTCAAACAATCAAACTGGATCCAACACAATCAACTGATATAGAAATTGATCGGTTATTTGAAGAATTAAAAGACGAAACAAATTTACCAAAAAATCTAAACAAACAAGAATTGAGAGAAATTAAAAACCAACTAGCAGAAATATTTGCCACAACATGTTTAGGAAATACAACCAGTAAACCAATTCAACAGCTTGAATTATACGCATAAGTTGGATATAGTCCAATCGTGGTTGGGGTGCCCTTATTACACAAAGGGTGATGTGTGTATTGAGCGTTCTTTTGAAAACTCCTTTGGTCCATACCAAATGTTCAAACTTTATCGTTCAAATTATAAAGACGTTGGTCCTCGTGACTTGTACGTCACCTATGAGATGAGTTCGTACAAACATGTGGTGTTTTTACCCGATTATCAGTCCTTCAACTTCAAAACGAAAGTGTTTGAACGGCGTATAGCTGTAGATCGTACAAAGTTTGAGACTATCTTCGATTACGTGAAGGCATGTTCAGATAAAGTTGACAAACGTCAAGAAACGAGAAAATTTGCAGGCTATATTAGGGTGAGGTCAAGATAGGTAATTTGATAGTGTCTTTACGGTGGGATATTTCATCTGTCGATTTATTGTCAGTTGTAGCAACCGCGATTTTGTATTCAAATTATACTGACGCGTTGGAAAACAAAATTTCTGCTGTAGGTATTGATTCTTTAAAAAAAACCCTGCAAGAAAAATTCAGAACATTCAAGTGTGAAATGTATGACCATTTGGTGGGTCGTCTTCTTGATATGTCTTTGGTTGGCGTTTTGGCAGGAGCCATGAGTACCGCCTTGGTTGCATCAACACCAGCAGCTGCAATTATGTGCCCCGTTGCTATTTTGGGTTTGAGCGCATTAAGGGTTTCTGAGATGTATGCATCGTATAAAGCAAAAGTTGCTGAAAATCCTCTCGGGCAATTGTTGCTGAAAATCCTCTCGGGCAATTTTTGCCGTATTATCCAGAATCACACAAAACTGTGAGATACATTGTGTCTACGAACAGTCTCGCATGGATTGATGACACTGAGTATTATTCGGGTTGGTCAGATGGTGATATAGTTCCTTTCACGTCGTATCGCTTTGAACAAATGTCTAAACGCATAAGAGAGCTTGAAGAGGGATACGATCGTATCAATGAATTAACCAACATTAAAATTCTGACTGAGAATCCGCAAAATCAACCAAGTGATGAAAATTTTTTGAAGGCAATTGGCAAAATTGCGGAAACAAGCAAAATTTTAAAGGCTGATCCAGCTGATTTTGTAGAACCAATGATGGATTCGTTTGATCCGAAGGAAGTGGAGATAAACAATGAGAGTCAGTGGATAGAACCATCGGAAGAGGAGAAAAATTTTAAACCTGACGAAGAGCAAGCGCAAGCAATTGATTTTTTCCTGAATACAAATAATGAGGACGGTAGGATACTCAAAACTATATCGATTGTTCCAAAATTAGATCTTTATTTGGATGGTAATCATCAGCATGCAGATCCTGAATATGGAGCTACCGCTTTGCAACTTAAAAATGCACTTAAACCAATATTGCAATCACATAGTGGTAATATTGAGGTGTTGGCAAATTGGACATATGTTTTAGGTCCACCTGGAACTGGTAAAAGTGTTGTTATGGGAGCTGTAGCAACACATGCGATGCTTTATGTCAGCGCGACCCGAAGAACGAAGAGTGAAGCTGTTGAGATGTTAAAAAAAAATTGTTGAATGTGACAGTTGCAACATATGCGCGGGCATTGATTATCTTGGCTCAAAATCCACAGCGATTCGGAATGATTGCTATAGATGAATTTGTTTTGATTGAACCCATGGTTTTGACAGGTTTGTTGACTTTGGCGGCTCAACATAACTTGAATGTGATTGCATGCGGCGATTTTAAACAAATATGTGCTATCAATTATTGTAAGGGTGTACCCATTAAAACTCGTGATTATACAGAGAAATTGATCGAATGTTTTCCAATGAATGTTGAATTGCGTCGCAATTATCGTTGCCCTCGTGATCAAGTGAATCTCTTGAATCACAATATGGGTTATAATATGATAGCTATGTCACCGATCGAAAAAGGAATTTTTTTCGATCAAGAGGAACATTTTGATGCTGAATTAATCACTTCTTATGGGAAAAATCGGCGTAGACTGACTCAAGAAAAATATATGGATAAAAAAATTGTAGTTGCGAATCGAAAGTTGACTGAAAGAGAGAAACGAGAGATTATTGTGAATATGGTGTTTACCACGCATCAATCGCAAGGCTGTACAGTCAAAACACATTGGTACAATGCCGATTATGCAGATTTGCGGTTTTTGAATGCACATCCCGAATATATCAATGTGGCTTTATCAAGAAATACCGAGGCTCTGTATATGAATAATACAACCAAAGATGTGGTTTTTTCGGTTTTTCAGAAATCGAGCAATTGAAGTCGACACAATTGCTCGATCCTAATATGCACGACAAATTCACCATGCGAATGGCTAAACCACCCGAATTAGAAGAGTTGTCGACTACGAACATAATATCATATTACGTTAATCATATTCATATAGACAAAACATTGCAACAAATGCAAAAATCCGGTTATGAAAAAATTTCCTTCATAAACAATTTTGAAGATAATGTAACAAGTTTTCCCAAGTGCAATCTCAAAATGAATCTCAAAGTGCGGAAACTGTGGGAAAAGAAAAAAGAGAATCTTCGCGTTTACAATGGTACACCCCGTGGTTTGGATCAATCAAATAGAGCCCCAAAATTTAAGTTATTCACATTTTTGAAAAGATATTGTATGATTAAAAATGTGTATGAACCTGGAAAGAATATGGAATTGGCTTACGAAATGTTGGATAGTTATAGAGGCTTTTGTTGATCAGGAAAAAATCCGATTGTTCAATTTGGTCGACGATGACGAGATGTTAGCTCTGTATGAATATCTAGATTCATTAGATAAAAGTAAAATAGGTCAAATCACGTATGCTAATCAGTTAATGTTATTACGTGAAAAGTTCCATGCCTATTGTAAAAATCGCGTTGCTAGCAAATACGAAATATATGCGCAGATTGCGGAAAAAGCAGGTCAGGGTATTATTTATTGTGGGAAAAATTTTAATACAAAATTTTCGCCAAAAATTCGTGCTATGATGATACGGGTTCAAGCGTCTTTGTATGATTGGTGTATTATAGATATGGATTTGAACGAAAAACAATTGCAAACTATGCTGTTGAAACTGGGTTTTGATGATCAATGAACCGTGCAAGTTGAAAATGATTTCTCAGAATATGATTCAACCCTGGGGAAAACAATACAAGATTTTAAACATCTATTTTTCAAATATTATGGCATGAAAGAAGACGATGTGGATCTTTATGAATTTTATAATGAAGAATGGGAATGATAATTGGATCAAAATACAGTTTCACATGCAAAGATCTTTATAATTTTAATATATCCCAATGATATCACAATCCCAATTTTTTATAATCGACAAATTAATTACTTTAATTACTTTATATTAATTATTAATTACTATAATTACTTCATTTAAAATTATTATTAATCA